TCTCCACCTTGCTTCCCAGTAAAGTACCAGTTCTAATGCCCGGCCGTTCACTCATTTCCACACTTTTAGCCTGGTCACCTTGAAGCAAACTGGACTCAGTGGGCTCGACACGCTCCAGTTCTCATTTGTCACTTCTGTCTCTCTGCCTCCCTCTCCCTGCCCTCCCTCCCTCCTCACCACGACCCTGTGTTCTCAGGACAGAAGCTGGGTTATTTTATTACTGATTCCCCCAACCCCTTCATGATTTTTGACCCTTGAATCTCAGCTTTCTCTTTCCTAACCCTTCAAGTTTATGCATTTCTTTCCATTGCAAAAACTACCCAGGAAACCTATTCACACAAAGGTATTAATGACTTAATATGTTGCTCCTCCTAATAATGTTTCGTTTCAAAGGGGTTATGGATAAGGGCAATGCTGAGGGCAAAGGACTATACCCAGATAACAACCACAATACAAAAAACTGACCTTCTAGGTGACTCTCAGATTACAGTACCACTTTCACCTTGCCAGTGGAATAGAGACAATAAAGAGCCAGGTAACCCTCCTACCATGAAGTAAGAGGAACAAAGCTGAACTGGCAGAAAGTTCAGTAGTTATTTGCTTAGGTTCACATTCCAGTTTTGCTTCTTACTAGAAAATCTTGGGCAAATTACTTAACCTGTCTATGCCTCAGTTTCCCCATCTCTAAGGTGTAGATAATAATAGTCCCTACCTTGCCCTGGCTGGTGTTCTCAGTGGTTGCAGTGCCCACACATAGAAGGGTTGAGGGTTCGATTCCGGTTAAGAGCATGTGCCTCGGTTGTGGGTTCCCTCCCTGCCCCTGGTGAGGGCCCATGCAGGAGGCAACCAGTCAATGTGTCTCTCTCACGTCATTGATGTTTCTCTCCCTCCCTCTCTCTCTCCCACTACCTCTCTCTCCCCCTCACTCCCTCCCTTCCACTCTCTCTGAAAAGCAATGGAAAAAAGTATCCTCACGTGAGGATTACAAAATAATAATAATAATGATAATAATAATAGTATCTAGAAAGATACAGAAATGAGTAAAGAGGTGATCACTACCCTTAAGGAATTTTTGTAGATATAGATATGTCCTCTCTGATCACTGTCCATCTTAAGTAACCCTGATAGCATCGCCCTCTTTTTGACTCAGGCCTGATCTGATGTCTGTACAATCACCAAAGGCCAAAGAAGTCGAGTTGAAAGGGAGGAGGAGCCTATAGTATGTTGATTAGAGCCCTTGGTTAGAGTAAAGCTCTTCATTAGATTAAAGCTCTTAAAGTGCCACATTAACCAAGCACTTCATTAATTAAAATCCTTCCTCAAAAAATTCAAAATGGAATTACTGTATGATCCAGCAACTCCACTTCTATACCCAAAGAACTGAAAGCAGGGTTTCAGAAAGATATTTGCTTACCCATGTTTACAGCAACATTATTTACAATAACTAAAATGTGGAAAGAACACAACTATCCCCTGGCAAATGAATGGATAAGCAAAATGTGGTATATAATAGTACAATGAAATAGTATTCAGCCTTAAAAAGGCAGGACATTCTGACACATGCTACAACATGAATGAAACTTGAGGACATTATGCCAGTGATATAAAAATATAAGTGAAATAAGCTAGTCGCTAAAAGACTGCATGATTCCATTTATATGAGATACTTAGAGTAGCCAAAGTCATAGAGACAGAAAGCAGAATGGTGGTTGCCAGGGGCTGGGGGTGGGAGGAAATGGGGAATTAATGTTTAATGGGTATAGAGTTTCAATTTTACAAGATGAAAAGAGCTATGGAGATGGATGGGGTGATGGCTACACAATATTTGAATATATTTAATACCACTGAACTGTACACTTAAAAATGGTTAAGATGATAAACTATGTTATATGTATTTTACCATAATTTTTAAAAATGGGGGGGAGAAAGACGGCAGAGGGAGATTAAACTACAGTAGCAGAGAGAAGCAGATGCAAAGCGAGAAGATGCTATGCTACTTGCTTTGAAAGTAGAGGAAGGGGCCACAAGCCAAGAAATGCTGTGAACCATCAGGACCAGAAAAGGCAAGGAACAGATTCTCCTCTGGAACCTCCAGGAGGAACCAGCCCTGCTGGAATCTTGATTGTAACCCTGTAAGACTCAGTTCAGGCTTCTGGTTTCCAGAAATGTTAAGAGAATAAATTTCTGTTGTTTAAGGCCACTAAAGTTTGTAGTTTGTGACAGCAGTGGTAGTAAACTAATACAGAAAGCTCATTTTACCCTGAGTCTCCTTTACAGGCCAGCAGGATCTTCATGGAAATCAGAGGACTAAGAATCCTTGGGGGTAAACAGAGATATTCACACTCTTTGCAAAAAACACATTTTTGGACCTCTCTTGACTGTTGGGGGAATCCAGTTAAACTTTCTTTTGCCCTGGGTTTGGAAGGAGGCAAAGAGCTGACACTCCCAATCTATTTGCAGTCATGCACGAATCAACAGCTAAAATTGTCATTTTTGCAGTTTTTTAAACAATAGAGTTTATTTCTTTTCTAAATGCATCAGCAGGGCCAGTGAAGAAGGTCTGGAAAGCAACAGCTAAGATTAGCTTCTAACCTCCCCACTGAGACCTTGAGTGGCTGTCAGTTCTGCAGGGAACAGCAGCAAAGCCTCACGCAAATGGCCTATAAAAAAAGGCCTTGTCAGAGGCACCTTGACCTGCCAGGGCTCCTCTGGTACTCGGATTCCCAGCGGCCCTCCCAGGGTTACGCTCTCTCGCATGATGTATTTCCCCTGCCTTTTTTAGAGCTGCATTATGCTTGCTCCAGGAAACAGCCTCTTCCTTCTCATAAACACAGCCTTGGGTTCCCGACCAAGCGCCCTGCCACTCCGCAGCTCCTTGTCCATCCATCACACCTTGCTGTCACCCTGGCTGCGATTGTGGGGAACTGGTCCAATTCCAGAGGTGAACCCGGGGTGGGGAGAAGGAAGGGGAAAGCCCTGGGAGCAGCTGAGGGTCACACACACCCCAGTTCCAGCCCACTGATAAGTTCCCTGGAAGCTGGCTGGCCTGCACAGTGAGCAAGCCTTTCCGATGACCCGGCGGCTGTGATGGAAAGTCTTGATAAGGTCGCCACCAGAGCTAGGCTTGGCGTCTCCACTCCCTCGGCTGAGTGTGCAATGCCCAGGGATCGGAGAGAACAGAGACGCCATGAAGAGCCTGGAGAGATGTAGTGAAAAACCCTGGCTCTTTGTAAGCAAGGTGGAAATGGCTAAGGGTGGGATTTGAAGGGTTGTCATGACCCACCCCCAAATATATGCTCCATTGCCTCTGGCAGTGCACCTGGAAAGGCCACCAATGGCTTAAAAAGAGATAACACTTACTGAGTGCTTACTATTTGCCAGGCACTATTCTCAGTGCCTCATTTAATTTTCTGCATCATCTTATCGAGTAGCTACCATTTTGCCCCATTTTACAGATGAGGAAACTGAGGTACAGAAATGCTAAGTAAGTTGTCAAAGGTCACAGAGCTAGTAAATAGTGGAACTGAAATTCAAAGCCAAATAGCAGCCGAGTGTCCACACTTTTCACAGTTGTGTATCCTGCTTCTCAGGGGCAGCTAAACATTGAAGTCGGGTCTCCCCAACATAGGTTCACATCTGGAGTTGGACCAGTTCCCCAAAATCACAGCCAAGGGCACTGAGAGCACTTGGAGTGCTGAAATGTTCTATATCAGGATGTGAATAGTGGCTACACAGGCATATACTATATAAAAATTCATTAAGCTGTACACTTAGGAGTTGTGCACTCTCATATATATATATATATATATATATATATATATATATATGATCCTTAATTAAATATACTCTTGATCTGTCTATCATCTATCTATCTATCTATCTATCTATCTATCTATCTATCTATTCTATCATCTATTATTACTAGGACTGTCCCTATGAATATTTTGAAGTACACAGCTATGGAAGGCAAAGAGCCTTGTATTATAACCCCTTGCCAATATTTTTATTTAGAAAGGTGGTTTAAATGAAAAATAACACATTTGAATGCAATATGTACTCGCAAGAGAATGGCATCTAGGACTTGGAGCAGCAGGGAGAGAAGAGGGAGTGTCCCATTCCTTTGCTCTGGGCATGAGCCAGTTTCCCTGCAGAGGAACGTAAGGTGGTGATGGAGGGACATATGCTTAATTGTTCTCTACTTCACCTCACTCATAAACCTTCAACCTGGTTTTTCCCTTACTCAGTTCAGTAACCACACTCTCAGCTCTTACCACATCCAAGGGCCTTTTCTCAGTTCCCATGCCCCTTGGCCACCCTGCAGCCTTTGGTCTATTGATCAGCCCTCTGCCTTGTTAGGTAGGACTCTTTAACAGACTTTGGTAACACTACACCTTTCTCCTCTCATCCTCTCTCTCTGGTGTTTCTGTCTCCTTTGTTTGTCATTGGTTTTCTCCTTCCTTCTTTTGATGACCCTACACATGGCCTCATCTTTGGTCCTCTCCACTCTCTCTGTGTCTATCCGTCTCTTGCCATGGCCTCTACCTACCATCACCTCTACTTCAGTGATTCCCAACTCTATAGCCTTATAGATTCTTGTTCTGAGCTACAATCCTGAATCTTCAAATGATCATTGGCACCTCTCTCTAGATGTTTTCCAAAGGCAATATGCCAAAAGCAATGGGTACTGCCATCCTTTCCCTAAAATCACCCTTAAGCTCGAATTCTTCCTTTCAACCAAGCTCAAGTCCTGACATCTTCCCTGATGCCTCTTTCTCTTTACCAGTATCCAGAAAATTCCCAAAGCCTTTTAATTCTCTCTTTGCAAAATTTCCCCAAATGCTTCCTCCCCCAAAGCATTTGTGCTCACCTCCAACTCCAGGTGGAGCAGGCAGAGACTGGTCTTTGGAAAAGTAGTTCTTTCCCAAAATATCTTCCTCTGAAGCCCGGAATCCCACACCACCAATTCATCACTGTGTATAACATACCATCCTCTCCTGCAGTCCTCTTTTAAGATGCAAAACTCCTGAGAAGGATAATATTTGGTTTTGAAGTAAGAAGATGAGTTAGGATCCAGCCTCCATTCTTCAGAGTGTGGCCTGTAGCATTACCTGGATTTCCTCCGCACCACCATCTCTGCAACCTGAGGACAGGGCTTCCGGGTAAGCCTGGCCCAAATTCTTTCTTTCTTTTTTTTTTTAATATATTGTTGTTGATTTCAGAGAGAGAGAGGGAGAGGGAAAGAGAGAGAAACATCAATGATGAGAGAGTCATTGATCGGCTGCCTCCTGCACGCCCCCAACTGGAGATCGAGCCCGCAACCCAGGCATGTGCCCTGACCGGAATCAACCGCGATCTCCTGGATCCTAGGTCAATGCTCAACCGCTGAGCCACGCCCGCCCGGGCCCAAATTCTTATCTATACTTGTTTGCCCTGATAATGTGTGGGTCAAATTCTAGCGCTCTCTCTTTCGCTCTCTCTCTCTCTCTCTGGCTATATGGGCCAACTGAAGACATTCATTTTACCCCATGGAAGTCTTCTTGGATCTACTCTTGAGCATTAGAGGGAATCTATAGGGTCTTAGAAGCACAACATACAGAGCAGCCCATTCCCTCTGCCCATGTCTATTGATCACCCTGTCTCTGTCCCACACTACAGCCCTGCTAGTTTCCCTGGTTCCAGAGCCCTAGACTTCAGGACTTATTTATGGTCTTGCCCATTGATGTCTCCCAGGTGGTTTAGGTAAACTCTCAAGAAAGCTACAGGAGGACTATGAACCAGAGACTCTGAACATCTTCCCTCCTTCTGGGCGCCTCCATCTAATAGTGGCAATATTGTCCTTTCCTCACACAGCTAGATTTGTGTTTGACACTCAGCACACCACCACCCCCCACCCACCCCCCACACACAAATTAAACAATATTGTATTTGGGGATACACACATAGGTTAAAAAACTCAAAGGAAATACTACTAGCTGGGCAGGGGTGGAGGGGGTAGGGGGAGAGAGAAAGCATACAATTGGAGAGGGGTAATACTGGGGACTTCTAAGTACTACCAACAATGTTTTATTTCTTTACCTAGGTGGTGAGTTCATAAGTGTTTTTATTATTGTTGTTATTGTTATTAAAACTGAACAAATGTGTTTTATACATTTATTTCTGGGTATTTGGTACACACATGCACACACACACATACACAATAATTATATAGAAGAAAAAATCCATAATCTCAACACCTTATGTTCTTAATACTTTGCATATTTATTGAACCATTGTAATATTGCATTGAAACTCTTTCCTGCTTCAAAGAGCATAGCTCTTGGTAATGACAGATTGAATCTTTGTGCTGGTGGAAGCTTGTATCTGAAAATGCTTTCAAGATAATTCAGAATTTCCTCCCACCACCCATCCAGCCTGTCAAAATTTCACCCTCCTTCAAGGCCAGCTCAGATCCCACCACCTCCAGGAAGCCTGACCACCATCCAGGGAAACCTCTTTCTTTAACCTGCCAGGGTACTTGCTATCTAGTCAGCTTCTTTTTATAGCTATTTGTGCTCATTTCTTTTCCCCTCTGGTGCACTATAAATTCTTGGGGACAGAGACCTGTGTCTAAAGGCCCCGGAAAATACTAAGTGCTTCGTAAGTAATAAGTAAATAAATTTGAAAGACTGTTTTTTTACTCTTCGCTTCCATATCCTGCATTACCAGTAGTGTTTGTCTATATAATTAAGTCACTTATGGGCTTTCGCCCAAATTGAAGGTTCTCAAATGGAAACACATTCTGTTTGTCCATAATTGCCACATCCAGAAATTGGTAACATGACCACCCCTGCTGTCCCTGTTAATAGATTTGATATGTGCTTTGAGGGCTGGATTAAGGAATGTTTGTGCTCTAAAAACAACAAGTCATGTTTATTGGGGGCCTATTATGTGCCAGACACCAGCTTGAGCGGTTTGCATGCATCTGTAATTTAATTCTCACAGAAACACTATGAGGGAAAAGCTGTTTAGTTTCTTCATTTTACACCTGAAGAAACAGTCAATTGCTCAGAGGCCACCAGGTTGTATATGGAGGAATTAGGACTCCGACCCAGATATACCTGAGTCTCATATTCCTCACTTCCAGGCAAGGCTGCCTTCTCAGAAATAGAAGTATAAAATCTAAATCTTGATCTCCAACTCTCAGCTCCATGTTGCAAAACTAGTTGCCCATTAAATGGCTAACATTTTTGAACACATATTTATCGATAAATACAAAAGAACAGGAGAGAATGTTTAAAAGAGAGATAAGAGCCCTGGCTGGTGTGTTGGGGCGGCTCGGTTGGTTGGAGTGTCGGCCCGTGCACTGAAGGGTGGTGGGTTGGATTCCCAGTCAGGGCACATGCCCAGATTAAGGGTTCAGTGCCCAGTTGGGGCACATAGGGAAGGCAACTGATCAATGTTTCCCTTGTGCATCGATGTTTCTCTCTCCTCTCTCTCTTTCTCTTTCCCCCTTCCTCTCTCTAAAAAATTCAATAAAAGTTATATCCTTGCGTGAGGATTAAAAGTAATAATAATAAAATAAAATAAAACAGAGATCCATAAAAAAAGAAATCCATAATTTTACCACCTAATAAATACTCTCATTTTGGAGTACTCTCTTCCAGGCTTTTCCCATGTGTATAAAAAAGACCCTCAGGCAGCATGTATGTGCTTTTAAGCAGAAGAGTCTGTTTGGTGATAAAGACAATAGTGGCACCAATGACAAACGTCTGCTCTCCCGCAGCTTTGCCTGGGGCTCATCTTACATCAGATGGAAGCCCGGAAATATGACGAAGATAAAGTGTAATTAATAAGGAGTTGCTTCCTGCGCACTCAAGGGGCTCCTGGAGGAGAGGAGGGGCCGACATTAGTGGCACGGGGGTGCGCCCTGAGTATCGTACGTTATGTCTACAGCTGCTGAATGTGCAGCAAAAAGGAAAATACAGCTTACTAGGAAATCTTGAGCTCTATAGCTGCATTCTTAATTCTTAACTGCTCAGTTATTGGAAGTCCATTTTTCTGGGAAAGACATCAGGCAGATGTCTCTCTCGTAGGCAGAAAAATGGTCTCTAAAGATGCCTGTACCCTAAACCCTGAAACCTGTGAATATGTTACTTTACGTGGCAAATTTGCACTGTAATTAAGGGTACAGCTTGGAAATTAAGGATTTGTGTGTGATTAGATTGGGTTCACCTGGATAATCCAGGATAATCTTCCCATATCAAGGTCTATACCAAGTGCTTTATGCTAATCAAGTGCTCTAATCTAACCAAGCACTCTAACCTAACCTCCAATCAAGAGCTTTATTTAAGGAAGTGCTTTAATTATGAAGTGCTTTATTAATAAAGTGCTTTAATTATGAAGCAATTTATTAATGCAGTGCTTTAATGAAATTCTCTAATCTAACCAAGCACTCAGATCTTACCAAGTGCTCTAATCTAATCAAAAGCTTTAATCTTAGAACAATGATCCAGAAAATTAGGCATTATTTGTCTCACTTTATGGATGAGAAAACCGAGCCTAGAAACTTAAATAACACAAATGGCAAGTCAGTGGTTTACGTCAGGCTTGGAACCCAGCTCCACCTGGCTCCGAAAGCACACAAGGACTATTCACATTGCATAGTGTTTATCATATGTGATTTTACTTACTCCTTCTAACAAGTGTATGAAATAGACGTTGCTATACTCGTTTAACTAAAAAGAAAATTCAGACTCAACTATTTGCCTGAGGCACAAGTTTTTATGAAGACACATTAGAATACAAAGTGAGACAAATAGTACTGCTAGAGCTAAAGCTCATGCCAGGTGAAAATTTGTTAGTTAGAGCTGTGTTGACTCTGTGCAGTTGATTATAATCACTTGCTTGATCTGGGGCCAGCACTTTCATAATCATTCTACCTGTCATGTTGGGTGTATCCTGCACATTTCTTACATTTGGAAAAGCCCCACTTTGTTCAACACTTTAAATGTAAATCTCATGGTCTAACTAGTTACCTTTTACAATAGAAAAGCGCTTTAATTAATGAAGTGCATTAATCTAATGAAGTGCTTTAATCTAACCAAGGGCTCTAATCAATGTACTATAAGCTCTTCCTCCCCTCCAACAAGATCTCTTTGGCTTTTGGTGATTGTACAAATGTCAAATCAGCCCTGGGTCAAAAAGAGGCTCGATGCTTATCAGGGTTACTTAAGACTGATGGTGATGAGAGGGGATATATCTGTATCTATGAAAATTCCTTAAGGGTAGTAGTCACCTCTTTACTTATTTCTGTATCTTTCAGAGAATCTAGTACAAGGCCTGATCCATGGCATTCACTGAGTGAATAAATGAGTGAGTGAATGAATGAAAGTTCCAGAGGTGCCAACATGGGAAAATTCTATACAAGAGTTCAGAACTCAGGAGCACCTGAAAGCAAAAGGGAAGCCAGCGCAGAAAGCTGATGGAGAAGCTGACATAGGGCCATGTGACATGGCTTGCCACTGACCATGTGTTACGCCCTGAACTCATCACCAGCAAGTGTGAGGATTAAACTTGGCATTTTAGTAGAGTGGACTATACACTTACCTCTGCCACTGGCAAGGTGGCCTTTGGCAAGTTTCTCTTTTTATATATAAAATATAGGATCAAGGTGGGGATGGGGACCAGTTAATTTCTGAAGTTTTTCCAGAGCCCCTGCCAGCATGTTGGGACCCTTCACCAAAATGTCTCATTCCAGCTTCCTTCCACGCTGTTCTCCCATGCCCCAGCCTGCTGTGCCCACCAAGTTCATGAGCGCCACCTTAAAGTAGTCTCCATGGGAGAGCTTCTGCCAGAATCCCCGCTCTCCCACCCCACGGCCACATCTCCAAGGATATCTCCCTTTCATCATCCAAGCAGCCAACCAAAATGATGATGCTAATCAGTGAAGTCCAGATGCAAGGAGTCCCACACTCTGTGTGAAAACAATCCTCAGAGAATTCAGTTTAAAATACAGTTTTCTGGGTCTACCTCTAGAGTAGATCTTAGAAGTGGCCCTAGAATTTTCTAACAGACACCCCTAGATGATTCTGCTACAGGTGATCCAAAGATCATTCTTTGACATGAAGTGATCTAGATTTTTACCCTAGAGCAGTGGTTCTTAACCTGCAATTTATGGATTTCCAAGGGAACTGAGGATAGATTTCAGGGGTCCCTGAACTTGAAAGGGAAAAAGTCTGTATTTTCATTAGTTCTAACTGTAATTTAGCATTTCATTCACTTTTGTATGTAGACAACAAACACAGTACCTGTGATTTTGTCACCAATCAGAATCACAGATATGTCATAGCCCATTACCGCTCCCACAGGTACCTTGAAATCCCCTTTACATTCATCACTATTTTAAAATGGTGGTTGTTGTTAGACTTACCATTCGATTTTGTTATTTAATTAAAAAGAAGCACATATATTACTATATTACTATTTTTTATTTTTGTTAATCATCACCTGAGGATATTTTTTCCATTGATTTTTAGAGAAAGTGAAAGGGGGGGAGGGAGAGAAACATTGATGCAAGAGAGACACATTGGTGGTCGCCTCCTGCACGTGCCAGACCAGGGCTGGGGATCTAACCTGCAACCCAGGCACTTGCCCTTGACCGGGAATCGAGCCTGAGACCTTAGGTAACCACTAAGCCACACCAACCAGGGCTTATTACTATTTTGAAATAGATTTTAATAACTATTTCAATATCGTTCTATGTATTTTTTTTTATGCATTTAAAAATATTATTCTGAGAGGGGGTCTATAGGCTTCACCAGGCTCAAAGTTGCGAAAGACGTCCTTGGCAGAGAGAAAAAAAGGTCAAAAGTCCTTGCTCTAGATAGAGCCAGTTATGCCAAAGGATCAAAAACAACTTCTGGCACCCTTCTGCTCCCTGTTTTTGTTCATTTGTCCCTCCCCCAAAACCAGCCCTTCAGCCAGGTGGAGGCCCTCCCAGAAATTTCTAATTCTTGGGGATAAAGAAGATGCAGCCTACCGGCATGGACTACTTTCTGAAAGTGACCATGGCAAAGGTTAGAAGAGGCTGGCTCCTCCCGAAGCTTCCCTTGGCCTGGGGAACGTGTCCCTTTGTTTTCTCTGTCAAACTGGGCCACTTTTCCTAGTTTGAAACCCACTGTTTTATCCATATAAATATTGACTTGAGGGGGTAAGAAAACCACACCCTAGATGAGCAGACGCTTCCTGGAACAGGTCACTAGAGATTCACCCGAAACAGAAACTCAGCGAGGTGGAGAGCGAGGGCTGCCAGCACCATCGCCTCTGTTTGAGTTCATATCTAGGCTGCCCAAGAGCAAGTTAGGTGGGTGTTTCCTTTTGGAAAGAGAAGGAAAGCAAGGCCACACAAGCTGGACAAATGACTGCCCCAGGCCCCGGGTGTTTGGGCAGTGCCCACGAATTCCAGGTCTCCTGCGCTTTACAAACTCCCAAGTAGCTGCTGAAAGCACCATCCAGGTTACAAATGAGGAAGGAGCCTGACCACAAGCATCCCGGCCGGCCCGGGCCACACTGGCCGCCCTCTGCTAGGAGTTTATCTGTGCATCCACAGCCGGAAAGAAATCAGCATTCCCGGGCTCCTGCCTTAAGGAAAATTAATGACTAGGCCAGACACGGAATAGGGACTCCCTGCCCTTGCAGGCTTAACACCCAGGGCGGGATCTCTAGGCGGGGGAAATGCCCCACCTTCTGGCTTTGGTCAAGACAGCGATTTCTTAGAAGGTTGG